TACAGTATTAAATAGAGCCATTATTGCATGGAACTCCCTTCCATCTCATATTGCTCAAAGGAACACCAAACCGGTTTCAAAAAACAGATAAAGCAACACCTCACGGCACAATGTCTCTCCCCTATTTGACCTAGTTATTTTGTGTGTATGTATTGATATGTAGGCTGTGTGCCATTTTTTTATTTGTGTAGTTCTGTCCTTGAGCTGTTCCTTGAGCTGTCCTTGCTTGTCTATTAATGTTCTGTAATACAGTATGTCATGTTTAATGTTTTGTGTGGACCCCAGGAAGAGTAGACGCTGCTTTTGCAACAGCTAATGGGGATCCTAATAAAATACCAACATAAAAATCTTTCACGTGCCTTTTTGCAATCTCCAGGCGTGCTGTCATGTGCCTTTTTCTCAGGAGTGGCTTCCGTCTGGCCACTTTCCTATAAAGCCCAGATTGGTGAAGTGATGTAGAGACTGTTGTCCTTCTGGCAGGTTCTCCCATCTCAACCAAGGAACTCCGTAGTTCTGTCAGAGTGGTCATGGGGTTCTTGGGCATCTCCCTGACCAATTTCCTACTTGCCCGGTTGCTCAGTTTAGTCAGATGGCCAGGTCTAGGGTAGTTCCATATTTTTTCAATTTCCAGATGATGGAGACAACTTTGCTCGAAGGTTTGTTAATCTCTTGAAAGTTTGTTAATCTCTAGGAGACAGAACACATCTCCTTCCTGAGCAGTATGACGGCTGCTTGGTCACATGGTGATTATACTTGCATACTATTGTTTGTACAGATGAACGTGGTACCTTCAGGCATTAGGAAATTGCTCCCAAGGATGAACCAGACTTGTGGAGGTCTACAATGTTTTTTCTGAGGTCTTGGCTGATTTCTTTTGATTTTCCCATGATGTCAAGGAAAGAGGCACTGAGTCTGAAGGTAGGCCTTGAAATACATCCACAGGTACACCTCCAATTGCCTCAGATTATGTCAATTAGCCTATCAGATGCTTCTAAAGCCATGACATAATTTTCTGGAATTTTCCAATCTGTTTAAAGGCACAGTCAACTTAGTGTATGTAAAGTTCTGACCCACTGGAATTGTGATACAGTGAATTATAAGCAGGTAGCTTAGTGGTTAAGAGCGTTGTGCCAGTAACCGAAAGGTCGTTGGTTCTAATCCCCGAGCCGACTAGGTGAAAAATCTGTCGATGTGCCCTTGAGCAAGGCACTTAACCATAATTGCTCATGTAAATCGCTCTGGATAAGACCGTCTGCTAAATGACAAAAAAATAAAAAAATAAGTGAAATAATCTGTCTGTAAACAATTGTTGGAAAAATTCCTCATGTCATGCACAAAGTAGATGTCCTAACCGACTTGCCAAAACTATAGTTTGTAAACAAAACATTTGTGGAGTGGTTGAAAAACGAGTTTTAATGACTCCAACCTAAGTGTATGTAAACTTCCAACTTCAAGTGTATATACCTCATCACAATCTCTGAGATCTACGGACAGTTCCTTGACTTCATGGTATAGTTTCTGCTCTGACATGCACTGTCAACTGTGGGACCATTTATAGACAGGTGTGTTTCTTTCTAAATCACATCCAAACAATTGAATTAGCCGCAGGTGGGCTCCAATCAAGTTATAGTGACGTCTCAAGGATGATCAAAGGAAATTAGATGCACCTGAGCTCAATTTGGAGTGTCAGGTCAAAGTTGTGTAAATACTTAAATACATGAATAAAAACATGTTTTTACTTTGCCATTATGGGGTATCGTGTGTAAATATGTGTGAGAAAAAAAGGATCTGACAATTTTTTTTTCAATTTTCACCTAAAATGACATACCCAAATCTAACTGCCTGTAGCTCAGGACCTGAAGCAAGGATATGCATGTTCTTGATACCATTTGAAAGGAAATACAAATTTGTGGAAATGTGAAATTAATGTAGGAGAATATAACACATTAGATCTGGTAAAAGATAATACAAACAAATAAACATGCGTTTATTTTGTTTTTTTGTTCCATCATCTTTGAAATGTAAGAGAAAGGCCACAATATAATATTGCAGTTCAGACGCAATTTAGAATTTGGCCACTAGATGGCAGCAGTGTGTGTGCAAAGTTTCAGAATGATCCAGTGAAGCATTGCAATACTGGACTATTTTGTATCAAGTCTGCCCAAATGTGCTGAATTGGTCAATTGATACATTTTCAAGTGCATAACTGTAGAGAACACACAAAAATGATATGGTAATACAAAATGTAAGTTTACACACTCCCAGGAATGTCATACATGATGGATCATTACCTTATACACTAACTTTCACCCATCTAGATGGCCGGGCGGGGTGGGTGTGGAGCCAGAGACAGCAGGGGTTCAAACTATAGAACCCAGTTCCTACATTTGAATATAAAAATGGATTTTATCAAACAAAACTATGCTACATTTTAAACTCTGGGACCCTTAGGATGACAAATCAGAACAAGATTACTGAATTTACATGTAAGTACATTATTTACCTTCAGAGGTGAATGTATCAAACCAGTTGCCGTGACAAGTTTTTTGTTGTTGTGCACTCTCCTCAAACAATAGCATGGTATTTTTTCACTGTAATAGCTACTGTAAATTGGACAGAACAGTTAGATTAAAAATAATTTAAGCTTTGTACCCATATAAGACATGTCTATGTCCTGGAAAGATTGCTGTTACTTACAACGGTCATGCTAATCACATTAGCGCACGTTAGCTCAACCGTCCCGTATACGGGACACCGATCCCATAGAGGTTAATAAATGGGCTGTAACACAACAAAATGTTAAGTAAGTCAAGGGGTATGAATACTTTCTGAAGGCACTTCAGACCAAAAGCATGTGGACACCTACTCATCTCATTCCAAAATCATGGGCATTAATATGGAGTTGGTCCCCACTTTGCTGCTACAACAGCCTCTAGATGTTGGAACATTGCTGCGTGGACTTGTTTCCATTCAGCCAGAAGAGCATTAGTGAGGTCGAGCACTGTTGGGCGATTAGGCCTGGCTCATAGTCAATGTTCCAATTCATTCCAAAGGTGTTCGATGGGGTTGAGGTCAGGGCTCTATGCAGACCAGTCAAGTTCTTCCACAGCGATCTCGACAAACCATTTCTGTATGGACCTCGCTTTGTGCACGGGGGCTTTGTCATGCTGAAACAGGAAAGGGCCTTCCCCAAACTGTTGCAACAAAGTTGGAATCACAGAATGACATTGTATGCTGTAGCGTTAAGATTTCCCTTCACTGGAACTAAGGGGCCTGAACCATGAAAAACAGCCACAGACCATTATTACTCCTCCACCAAACTTTACAGTTGGCACTATGCATTGGGGCAGGTAGCGTTCTCCTGGCATCCACCAAACCCAGATTTGTCCTTCAGACTGCCAGATGGTGAAGCGTGATTCATCACTCCAGAGAACACGTTTCCACTGCTCCAGAGTCCAATGGCAGCGAGCTTTACACCACTCCAGCTGACGCTTGGCATTGTGTATGGTGATCTTAGGCTTGTGTGCGGTTGCTCGGCCATGGAAACCCATTTCATAAAGCTCCCGACGAACAGTTCTTGTGCTGAAGTTGCTTCCATAAGCAGTTTGGAACTCGGTAGTGAGTGTTGCAACTGAGGACAGACGATTTTTACGTGCTACGCGCTTCAGCACTCAACGGTCCCGTTCTGTGAGCTTGTGTGGCCTACCACTTCGCGGCTGAGCGTTTCCACTTCACAATAACAGCACTTACAGTTGACCAGGGCAGCTCTAGCAGGGCAGAAATTTGACGAACTGACTTGTTGGAAAGGTGACATCATATGACGGTGCCACGTTGAAAGTCACTGAGCTCTTCGGTAAGGCCAATCTACTGCCAATGTTTGTCTATGGAGATTGCATGGCTGTGTGCTCGATTTTATACACCTTTCAGCAACAGGTGTGGCTGAAATATCTGAATCCAGTACTTTGAAGAGGTGTCCACATACTTTTGTATATATTGTGTATATTGCTGCTGTCTCTCCAGATGTCTGCCCAACTTCTGTGAACATGGAGGGCAGTGTTCCCAGTCCTGGAACACCTTCTACTGTGACTGCTCTGGAACAGGATACACTGGAGCCACCTGCCACAACTGTGAGTTAACTACTCTTCCCTTACATATACCTATACACTTCCCACACTTTTCTCAAACTTGTTCACAATGATACTGCACAATCCAACCCAAGCCAGGATATACAATATATTTAAATGCAGCTCGCAATCTCACAATCTCATAGAACTGTTATCCCTATGCTGCCATCCTTATAAAGTGCAATTCAAAAGGGTTGGTAACAACATGAGATGGTTCAATGCCGGAGTGACCGTATAGTAATCAATCCCCTGGTATTCTGCCTGGCATAACTACCTGGGAAACAGGTAAACCCCGTTAGCTATACGTCAAGAGCCTCAGTTTGACATACGGACGTTTTTCCTCTCATCTGTCGTCTCCAGACATCCACAGACGCCCCTTTGATATTCACCACTGAGCGTGCTCAGAATACTGATTTCTTGTTTATTCGCCAGCGGATGCAGTTGTCCTTGTATGTTGGAGTGTACCTTGACATGAATATGCACCACATGAATGAAAATGTGCCCACTTACTTTGAACATCATCTTTATATGCATAATGGTGTCTGGCTTGCTACATTTTCTAAGTTATGCATATGTGTGCAATATAAAATATGCAATATAGGGAAAAGTAGGGGAGGCTACAACATTAGTATTAAAAGGTCAAATTGTAAGAAGTATGTCACTTATGTATATTAATGTACCATATATTATATTCATATTTTGTGAAGGTGGTTGTCTTTGTGTTTTAGAGCTTGACCACTCAGTGCTATTGCTAAATGTTTACCAGCCACTGTGCAATTATGTACATGCTACCCATTAAAATAGTTTTTAACTTCCTCACTGAGATTTCTGTCAGCCATTTTAGAGCATTATGTATATCTGTGTTCGTCTATAGCCATCTATGAGGCATCATGTGAGGCCTACAGGCTGACCGGCAGCTCCTCAGGCTACTTCTCCGTTGATCCAGATGGCAGTGGTCCTCTGGGGCCGACACAGGTCTACTGCAACATGACAGGTAAGCTGCCACTGGGGCACACAGCCCAGTCATCACCTCTCTGCACTCTCCTGAATCCCACAAGAACTCTGAGATCGTAGCAGAGGAGAGAAAGAGTAAACAAGATCTGATTCAGTCACTTACAGACACATTGTATTGGCCCACAGCACAACTGACAACTGACAGCCAAGCTATGAAGTGGAAAACCATTAGGGTTACTAGACATGGAATCAGCCCCTGGTTACAATGATAGCTCCAAATAAAGATTTGCCAAAATGTCTGCTGTAAATAAGACATTATTTGTGCAAAAGTGTGCAAAATGACACAATCGCAAAAGTGAATACACATAAAGAAGACCAGAGCTCTGATTCAAGTCTGTGTCATGTCTTCACCTTCAGGGCTCAGACTTTTCACAGACAGAGTAAAGGAATGGGAGCTCGATGCCTGGGCGCTGGCATACAAGACAATATCCATCACATTGCTGTCATGAGCTTACAGCTCTGACCTTTCCGGAGGTTAATGCAACATTTAAGTCATTACGGAGGTGGCTGGCTGCTGCTGCCTTTTGATAGTCTGGCTCAGGATCACAATGTATTTTCCTTTTTTCATGCCACAAATCCTAATAATGTTGCATGGAGTTGCCTCAGGTTGACCTCAATTAAAGAATCCATTAGAGATGTAAATAACTCTCAGCTTGACAAACTGGGATGTGAATAATCACGAAGAGGAAGAGGATTTCTTCTCAGGCAAGGTAAACAGAATTCCCTATAATACACAAAATAGGGGGATGGAAATGAATTGGAGTCCTCACCTCAATTCATTTTGCAAGCTATTAATCCTTGGTTAGAGAGCCTACAGGAAATCTTGTTTGGCTGTGGATTATTGTACATGCAGTAGCGTGTCCAGAACATTTTGAATGGGGTGACCAAGTTGGGGCACAGACCCAGTTTAGGGGGTCATAACATTTTGAACCTTAATCGATGCAAGGTGGATTTCTACAATAAAAGTATGATGTTTCAATGCATTAAATGCTTCAGTTTAGGTTTGGTACGTTTCCCTGTTCAAATAAATAATGAATCAATTCCAAAAGTGTTTGCATTGAAGGTCAGGATTTTATATAAGGGTGTTAGCATACAGCAATAAATTCACTTGAAAGTGCCATCCAGAGTGCGAGTTATACTGTAACATTCGGGGGTCTCAGCCTAGGCCACCCCCTGGACACGCCACAGTGTACATGCAGGAACTCCCTTTTTTAATTTAATCAATTTAATCAATAATTAATTCAACATGTTTATTTATTTTATTTGGGTATTGGCTTGTATAAGTCAAAGCTTGTGAATATATCCAATGTTTTTATAATCAAAAGGGTAAATATGACACAACCAACATGCTCTGCACACAATGTACAGCATGTTACAGGTCAAAATGTCTTAAGGTTTGACATCATTTGTTCCATGTTGTGTGTAGAAGACAAGGTGTGGACAGTGGTGACCCACAACAGCACAGATCCAGTCAGGGTCCAGGGTTCTACACTCCAGAAGCCCTACATTATGAAGTTCAACTACAGCGCCTCACCTGAACAACTGATGGCCCTCGTGGCCGGGTCAGAGCAGTGTCAACAGGAAGTGATGTACGGCTGCAGGAAGTCCCGCCTCTTCAACACTAGAGGTGAGTTGGGTCGATAGCACCCTGTTCGTCCTATGACGTCAAACTTAGACATGGTCCCAGACGGACCTGTTCACTAATATAAATGGTTAGTATTCTGAGAATGAAACTGATTCTGACCTGAGCATGTGAATATACACTCCATCCTCAACCATTTCTCCCATTATCTTGCAATAACTTGAAAGGCTACCACCGAGCATATCTCTGAGCATTCATCTTCAATTGCTTTGGGAGCAATCTCACATTTGCTCCTAAATCATGAAAAATTCATGAAGTGCTGAATTCCCTGATTCCCCGGCTGTCATGTGCGTGCAAATAAACAAGTTCATTATCACAGTGGGTCAAAATAAAATAAAAATGTTATTCTTTGGGCTATATATGAACAGTTTCAGATGGAACATCAATAGGTTGTTTCTGCTGGCTGTCGTGCTTGAACACAGATATTCTCTATAGAAGATGAATGATGTTCAGCCCCTCTGTCAGACACACCATGTCTCTTAGCTGTTCAATGAATAGCAATTCACAAATTGTTTATTATTAGACCAATTTGGCCCATGGATTTATGTAAATTTGCATGATTAAAAGTGGCTTTTTGTGAACTCAGACACCACAACGTCATGCATGCGTAACCTATACGCATTCATGGAATATGGTTCACATTAGTTAAATATGTTTGATTACTGTTATTAATTTATTAAATTGTCATTTTCATTTGTTTAATTATGTGGCTGTAGTGTTGGGCACAGACAACATCTGCAGCTTGTAATATGACAAGAAAATACCAATTACCATCCACGATGACAATGTAATTTTGACTCGTCTTCTCTTTTCATTATACCGTTTCATTATCTATCAACATGCAGTTTGAATACTAAGGATTCACATTTGCACATTCTTTGTCATGACCACAAAAACAAAACAATAAACAACAACAAATGTGTCAAGTATTGATATGCTTTCAAATGCTTGCCCAACACTGGGACCTATTCTTACTAAATAAGCAAGCAACACTAGATCAATAAGAGACACTGTTACTGTCAATATTGTACTGCAGTTTATTTCAAAACCTCTTGCAGAGTAAGGTCAATGAAAGGGCGTATATAATGTATGCAGGTTTAGCATGCAACATCAAGTATCCGCAATGCACAATGCAGATGTGTTGATAGTAGCTGAGAGCTGAGGGACTGCTCCCTGCAGGCCTGTAGTGTCTCCAATGCAGAGTCATATTGTGTGACGGATGGCTGTAGCAGGGCCACTTACAGATGCTCCAGGAAATGAGCCCTGGATGTCTGACTGGCATCACTGAGGGCTCATTGACACAATGCCATGGGATGCCAACAGATGCCAATGGCTCTAATCACAGTCACTGTGCAGATAGCCATACTGCAGAGATGACCCCTGGATTATTAGCTGGTCTCTAATAGGATTTGTCTGAGTCTCACTGACCAGCAGGATAATTGTTATATTTGAATATGGATGACATTGTGTATTCCAAGGATTTCATTCCAAAAACGGTGCCGTTTTTTTCTAAGCATCTGGACAGTTATGTGTCTATCTGATCCAATAGTTATACGTTTGAACTAACTGTATAACTAGCTACTGTAAAGCTTTTTCTCTTAGTTGTATATTTCCCTATATATTTTTTTTTCATTTACTGCATTGCTATAATTGCTTGTTTTTGTATGAACTATGTTGTGCTCTGCTGTAGATGGTACCCCGTTGTCCTGGTGGGTGGACCAGGGTGGAGAGAGACGGACCTACTGGGGTGGCTTCCTGCCGGGGGTTCAGCAGTGCTCCTGCAGCCTGGAGGAAAACTGCATGGACATGAATTACTTCTGTAACTGTGATGCCGACACAGACTCAAGGTAACAAGGCAAATATGTCTCTCTGTGTATCTACTGGGCTGCTCATTGATCAATATGCTCTACAGGCCTTTGGGTTTGTCTAGTGACCATTATTTTAATTTTTTAAAATGCATTACTTTATTTATATAGAACTTTGAATACAGGGATATTTCTATCCAAATTCAACTGCTGTAATGTAAAATGACTATATGAAGGTATAAATTACTATAAAAACGTATTAGGCTTCAACTGCAGATCTTATCATGATATTCTTTATTACACACTTTATCTTTAACTTTAATGACGTTGCCTACATTTATTCTCACCCAGTGTGTCCCTGTGTAGTTTTGAATTTGGGGAACCTCATTTGCATATCTCCTGAGGCACCCGTCCAGACCTTGATAGATCACCTCATCTTTATAGTGTTTACTCTAAAGTTCCAGGCAATGCTGACTGAGGAATGGATTAGTTTATCTGTTGTGAAATGAAGAGGCTTCTCTCGCTGTATATTGCAGGGCTAATGACACAGGAGTCCTCTCCTACAAAGAGCACTTACCAGTGACTGAGATCGTGATTGGAGACACCAACAGAACAGGCTCTGAGGCGCTCTACAGAATTGGCCCACTGCGTTGTAATGGTGACAGTAGGTGAACTCTTCTATTTTGTAAAAATTGTATCTTACAGATGGTCCCTTTGGACATCCTTGTTTTTCCAGGCCAAATGCTGATTAAATATTGAGTATGTTCAAACGCTCCACTCAGTTCCAAGACATAACCCTTTTTCACTCATCTTTATATCCTTCTTATATGAGTCAAGACTTACCTCTAAGAAGAAATGTGTATTTCCTGTTTTCTAGAGTCTGTGTGGAATGCAGCGTCCTTCTACCAGGAGTCATCCTACCTGCACTTCCCGACCCTCCAGGCAGAGCTCAGCACTGACATCTCCTTCTACTTCAAGACCAGCATCCCATCAGGAGTCTTTCTGGAAAACCTGGGCCTCAAGCACTTCATCAGACTAGAGCTCAGCTGTGAGTCTGTGCTCCCCCCCCCCCCCCCCCCCCCCCCCCCACACACACACATACTGTAAACACACACACACACACACACACCAGAATCCATTTGGAGAAGGCCAGCGGTGTGAAATCATCAGAATTCTATTTTCTGATGAAAGCACTTCCCAGCTACAGTAGCCTACATTTGACATGCAATTGGAAAAATTTGCAACATGTCACTCCTGACCTGAACTGCATAATGTAATCCTAATGACAGACACAGTGCTCTATTATCAAGCTGTCAAATAAACCTCTAATAGCACTTTCCGTGGCAACCATGTAATCAGAATATGCTCACTGAATATAGAAGTAATTGTTGAAGAAAAGAATGGTCAAACTACTTTGTGAATGTACTAAAGAGCATAAAGAGGAGGGCAACATAGTTGCTGGGCTCAAAATGTATCTGTAAAAGCTTCTCTTTAGGTCTTTTGTAAGAGTCCATTCTCTCATAGGACATTTGGAGCATTGAAATAACTGCAGCTTTTGAAATGTGAGGCGCATTTAGAAGTATTGACAAGCTGTCAACTCTGCCCTACATAAAACCATACAGGTCATCAAAGCCTTATAAGTCTCAACGCATCACATTGCATGCCATCGACATAAAACTACATTGTGTAGCATAGAAAAGAGGAGTCTCAGATGCTGACCTGACTGACTGTCAGCTTGTGTCCCCTTTTTGTTTTCTCAGCTCCCTCTGTGGTGACGTTCTCCTTTGATGTGGGAAACGGGCCAGTGGTCCTGGCCGTGAAGTCCCACGTGCCCCTGAATGACAGGCAGTGGCACTATCTGAGGGCGGAGCGCAGCGTGAAGGAGGCTTCTCTGCAGGTGGACCAGCTGCCCCTGCGCTTCCTGGAAGCCCCGTCTGATGGACACCTCCGCCTCCGGCTCAACAGCCAGCTGTTTGTGGGTAGGGCTATGGTGAACAGCCCCTCTGTGGATTAATATGTACATAGAGCAGTTATACATATTGTAACACTGAAAAGCCATATTAATTAGTTATAACCTGTTGTCCCTCCTCCAGGGGGAACAGCGGCAAGGCAGAGGGGCTTCCTGGGCTGCATCAGAACTCTGACTATAAACAGCGTGACCTTTAACCTGGAGGAGAGGGCTAAGATGACCCCGGGGGTAAGTGCCGGCTGCCCCGGCCACTGCAGCGGCTCCAGCCGTCTCTGCCACAACAGAGGGAGGTGCATCGAGAAGAACAGCGGCTACGTCTGTGACTGCTCCCAGTCTGCTTACGGAGGACCCTCCTGCAAGGAAGGTGTGAATCTTAAAGTAACGTCAACATAGTGATTAATCCTTGGGGTTAATTTAGCTGTAATGTTGTTTCATCTAATCATTCTGATGCTGTTTTGACACTGAATCTATGATTCTAACATGCAGCATGTAACTTCAAGTATACACACAAAACATGCACTGTTTGTAAAGTAGTGAAGTGCAATCGGCTGCAATCAGGAGAAGTTGATTAACATAGAGCTGTAAGATATCACAACAGCCCTCTGTTGCAAAATATTGCTTTACATTAACCGAAATCTAACATCGCTCAGAGTAGGGTGTCCACCTTATATTATAAAATACATTTTACCAAGACAAATATGATTCTTCATGTTCTGAATCGTTCAGTGGGGTCTTTCTCTAACATATCATGAACATTATATCCAAAAAGTTGGATTTCGTAAACTAATACATCCAATTATAAGCACCGAGCTCTGTGGATAGAGCAGTGCCACTTCTCCCAGCGACTTTTGAGGATTTTACATGTTGTGGTGATCTTCTGCAAAGTTGTTGCCGTGGGTCACAAAAACAACATTAACATGACACGAGCTGAATTAAAATGTAAAAGACTTTGAAAATAAAAATCTTGCTGTTCGCTCAGTGCTCCGTTGACATTTCACAGAGATACGCTTGTTTTTCAGAGAAATAAAAAATAAATAACTGGAATTTCACATTAATATGAAAAGTGCATACAAAAATATGAAGAAAATACATGTCATGTCTCAAAATCGATATCTATCTTACCTCTATATTGTTTTATGTCCTCCGGATTCGAGAAGAAAGATGACGAGTTCAATGGTGAGCCTATAAGTTTGCCTTAAGTCCGTTATTTTGTATCCTGGTTTTGGGACCACCAGTAAAGATCATTGTTTCACCATCTATGCCTACTGCCTACTGTGTATCCTGCACCGCACCTGGGTCACACCTCACACCAACCCTTACAGAAAACAGAGCCAATATGGACCTAGCGGAGGCAGCACAGTATCGTAGCGCATTGGCAATGCAGGGAGCCATGCTGAACCAGCACGACCGCAGCCTGCAGCAGATAACCGAGAATCTCCGCCAGCTGACGATCGCCATGCAGAGCCGGGTGGACACCCGACCAGCCCCGGCAGCCGGCGGAGCGGAAGCCGCGGAAGCCGCAGTAGCGGCGTCTCCAGTCTCGCCTGCGACATCGCGGGAACCCGCCTACCACCTCTGGAGAGGTACGACAGATTTCCAGAGGGCTGCAGCGAATTCCTCACCCAGTGTTCCCTGGTATACAGCCTACAACCCTCCTCCTTCCCGACGGAGCAGGGCCGGGTGGCCTACATTATCACTCTGTTGAAAGGTTGGGCCCTTTTCTGGGCTACCACGGAGTGGGAGAGCCAAACTCCGGTGTTCTCCGACTCCTACCAATTCACCCGGGAGCTACGCAAGGTGTTCGACACCTCTCGGGTGGTGTCAGGGCACAAGGCCGGGAGGCGTCTCACAGCCTGTCGGCAGGGTGACCGTTCGGTGGCGGACTACTCCGTGGTGTTCCGGACCCAGGCTCGAGAGGCAGGATGGGAGGAGGCCGCCCTGGTCGTCCTTTACGTGCAGGGGCTATTGGATGGGATGAAGGACGAACTCTCCTTCAGGGAGCTGCCTGAGCGACTGGACGGTCCCGTCAGGGTTCAGTGGGCCTAACTGCGCATCGGGTGCATGCACTGGTGGATTTGGGGGCCGTGGGAAACCTGATGGATGCGGGGCTGGCCCAAGGGTGGAGCGTTCCTTTACTTTCCCTCTCCGAGCCGGTTCCGGTCATGGGCCTGGATGGCTGGCCGTTGGGGTTGGGCTTCATCACCCGGCGTACTGTCCCCGTGCGTGTCCGGGTGGCAGGGGGGCTATGGGAGGATATCCAGTTTTTCATTGTGGACTCTCCGGTGTCCCCTCGTCCTCGGGCACCCCTGGCTGGTCGTCCACAAACCCTGGATAGACCGGTCCACGGGGCGGCTCATCCTGGAGGGAGGCTCCGCCTCCGTCTTGTTCCGGTAACCACCGACCACTCATCAGTCCAAACCTTCTTCTTCTTGGGGAAAAAGGACGGTGGGCAGCGGCCGTGCATTGATTACCGGGCGCTCAACGACGTCACGGTTAAGAACCGCTACCCACTCACCCTGATGACGAAGGCATTCGAGTCGTTGCAGGGAGCCCCGGTCTTCACCAAGCTGGACTACGAAATGCCTACAACCTGGTGAGGATTCGGGAGGGGGACGAATGGAAGACGGCTTTTAACACTCCCAGTGGGCATTACGAGTATCAAGTCGTGCCATTCGGTCTAGCCAACGAGCCAGCGGTGTTCCAGGTGTTGGTCAATGACGTGCTCCGGGACCTCCTCGACTACAGCGTCTTCGTGTATTTGGATGACATCCTAATATTTTCAAAGGACATGAGTGAACACCAGCAGCACGTTCGGCAGGTCCTCCAACGCCTTCTCCATCACCAGCTTTATGTCAAGGCGGAGAAGTGCGTATTCCACACAGAGACAGTCTCCTTCCTGGGGTTCATCGTCACCCAGGGGGACCTACGAATGGACCCAGCCAAGGTCAATGCGGTACTGGATTGGCCCCAGCCCTCATCCCTCAAGCAACTACAAAGGTTTTTAGGGTTCGCTAATTTTTATAGTTGATTTATTCGCAATTTTTGCTCTCTGGCCACTCCGCTGATATCCCTCACCCAGACGAGCATGCGCTCCTTCGCCTGGACCCCGGAAGTGGGGAATGCATTTGATGCGCTTAAGGGGCGCTTTACATCGGCCCCGGTCCTAGGGCATCCTGATCCGTCCCTACCGTTCATTGTGGAGGTGGATGCTTCAGACGTTGCGGTGGGAGCAATCCTGTCCCAGCAGTTCCTCACGGACGGTAAGACCCACCCCTGCGCGTTTTTCTCCCATCGGCTGTCCCCGGTGGAGCGGAATTACGACGTGGGGAACCGTGAGCTGCTAGCGGTCAAGCTCGCCCTGGGGGAGTGGAGGCATTGGCTAGAGGGGGCCACCCATCCATTCGTCGTATGGACTGACAATAAGAACTTAGCCTACATTCAGGTGTTGTTCTTCACCAGATTCTGGTTCACAATCTCATACCGTCCGGGGTCGAAGAACACCAAGCCTGACGCGCTCTCCCGGCAGTTCGACCTTGTGGACCTGGTGGAGAGGGATGACCCCATTGTCCCCAACACCCTGATTGCTGCCTCAGTTTCGTAGGGAATCGATAGGCTGGTCAGAGCAGTGCTACGGCGGGAGCCCGATACGGGCAGAGGTCCATCGTAGAGGATGTATGTACCCAAGGCTGCGCGCTCGCGAGTGCTTCAGTGGGCGCACGCGTCCGACCTCACCAGCCATCCGGGGGGTGCCAGGACGTTGGAGTTTACGTTTACATTTACATTTTCGTCATTTAGCAGACGCTCTTATCCAGAGCGACTTACGAATTGGGGCATTCACCTTATGATAACCAGTGGGGCAACCACTTTACAATATATATTTTTTTTCTTTGGGGTGGTGTAAGGGGGGGTAGAAGGATTACTTTTGTCCTATCCCAGGTATTCCTTAAAGAGGTGGGGTTTCAAGTGTCTCCGGAAGTTGGTGAGTGACTCTGCTGTCCTGGCGTCATGAGGGAGCTTGTTCCACCATTGGGGTGCCAGAGCAGCGAACAGTTTTGACTGGGCTGAGCGGGAACTGTGCTTCCGCAGAGGTAGGGGGGCCAGCAGGCCAGAGGTGGATGAACGCAATGCCCTTGTTTGGGTGTAGGGACTGATCAGAGCCTGAAGGTACGGAGGTGCCGTTCCCCTCACAGCTCCGTAGGCAAGCACCATGGTCTTGGAGCAGATGCGGGCTTCAACTGGAAGCCAGTGGAGTGTGCGGAGGAGCAGGGTGACGTGAGAAAACTTGGGAAGGTTGAACACCAGATGGGCTGCAGCGTTCTGGATGAGTTGTAGGGGTTTAATGGCACAGGCAGGGAGCGCAGCCAACAGCGAGTTTCAGTAATCCAGACGGGAGATGACAAGTGCCTGGATTAGGACCTGTGCCGCTTCCTGTGTAAGGTAGGGTCGTACTCTGCGAATGTTGTAGAGCATGAACCTACTGGATCGGGTCATCGCTTTGATGTTAGCGGAGAACGACAGGGTGTTGTCCAGGGTCACGCCAAGGTTCTTTGCACACTCCACTGGCTTCCAGTTGAAGCCCTCTGGGAGGAGGACACAACGGAGTTGTCAACCGTGATAGCGAGATCATGGAGCGGGCAGTCCTTCCCCGGGAGGAAGAGCAGCTCCGTCTTGCCGAGGTTCAGCTTGAGGTGGTGATCCGTCATCCACACTGATATGTCTGCCAGACATGCAGAGATACGATTCGCCACCTGGTTATCAGAAGGGGGAAAGGAGAAGATTAATTGTGTGTCGTCTGCGTAGCAATGATTGGAGAGACCATGTGAGGATATGACAGAGCCAAGTGACTTGGTGTATAGAGAGAATAGGAGAGGGCCTAGAACTGAGCCCTGGGGGACACCAGTGGTGAGAGCACGTGGTGCGGAGACAGATTCTCGCCATGCCACCTTGTGGGAGCGACCTGTCAGGTAGGATGCAATCCAAGAGTGAGCCGCGCCGGAGATGCCCAACTCGGAGAGGGTGGAGAGGACGATCTGATGGTTCACAGTATCAAAGGCAGCAGATAGGTCTAGAAGGATGAGAGCAGAGGAGAGAGAGTTAGCTTTAGCAGTGCGGAGAGCCTCCGTGACAGAGAGAAGAGCAGTCTCAGTTGAATGACCAGTCTTGAAACCTGACTGGTTTGGATCAAGAATGTCATTCTGAGAGAGATAGCAAGAGAGTTGGCTAAAGACGGCACGCTCAAGAGTTTTGGAGAGAAAAGAAAGAAGGGATACTGTTCTGTAGTTGCTGACATCGGAGGGATCGAGTGTAGGTTTTTTGAGAAGGGGTGCAACTCTCACTCTCTTGAAGACGGAAGGGACATAGCCAGTGGTCAAGGATGAGTTGATGAGCGAGGTGAGGTAAGGGAGAAGGTCTCCCTTACCTCATGGTCTGGAGAAGAGAGGAGGGGATAGGGTCAAGCGGGCAGGTTGTTGGGCGGCCGGCCGTCACAAGTCGCAAGATTTCATCTGGAGAGAGAGGGGAGAAAGAAGTCCTGAGTGGCGCAGTGGTCTAAGGCACTGCATCGCAGTGCTAACAGTGCCACTAGAGATCCTGGTTCGAATCCAGGCTCTGTCGCAGCCGGCCGCGACCGGGAGACTCATGGGCGGCGCACAATTGGTCCAGGGTAGGGGAGGGAATGGCCAGCAGGGATGTAGCTCAGTTGATAGAGCATGGCGTTTGCAACACCAGGGTTGTGGGTTCGATTCCCATGGGGGGCCAGTATAAAAAATATATATATATGTAGTCACTAACTGTAAGTCGCTCTGGATAAGAGCGTCTGCTAAATGACTAAAATGTAAAAATGTAAGTCAAAGCATAGGGTAGTGCAGGATCAGCTGTGTCATTTGACTTAATGAATGAGGATCGGATGTCGTCAACCTTCTTTTCAAAATGGTTGACGAAGTCATACACAGAGAGAGAGGAAGGAGGGAGAGGGAGGAAGGAGGGAGGAGGGAGAGGGAGGAAGGAGGGAGGGGGAGGAGGAGGAGGATTCAGCAGGGAGGAGAAGGTGGCAAAGAGCTTCCTAGGTGTTAGAGGCAGAGGCTTGAAATTTAGAGTGGTTGAAAGTGGCTTTAGCAGCAGAAACAGAGGAAGAAAATGTAGAGAGGAGGGAGTGAAAAGATGACAGGTCGGCAGGGAGTCTAGTTTTCCTCCATTTCCGCTCGGCTGCCCGTAGCCCTGTTCTGTTAGATCGCAATTAGTCGTCAATCTACGGAGCAGGAGTGGAGGACCGAGCCGGCCGGGAGGATAGGGGACATAGAGAGTCAAAAGATGCAGAACGGGAGGAGAGGAGGGTTGAGGAGGCAGAATCAGGAGATTGGAGGGAGAAGGATTTAGCAGAGGGAAGAGATGATAGGATGGAAGAGGAGAGAGTAGCGGGAGAGAGAGTGAAGGTCGCGACGGCGCATTACCATCTGAGTAGGGGCAGAGTGAGTAGTGTTGGAGGAGAGCGAGAGAGAAAAGGATACAAAGTAGTGGTCGGAGACTTGGAGGGGAGTTGCAGTGAGATTAGTAGAAGAACAGCATCTAGTAAAGCGTATTGCCTGCCTTGTGAGTAGGGGGAGACGGTGAGAGGGTGAGGTCAAAAGAGGAGAGGAGTGGAAAGAAGGAGGCAGAGAGAAATTAGTCAAAGGTAGACGTAGGGAGGTTAAAGTTACCCAGAACTGTGAGGGGTGAGCCATCCTCAGGAAAGGAACTTATCAAGGCGTCAAGCTCATTGATGAACTCTCCAAGGGACCTGGAGGGCGATAAATGATAAGGATGTTAAGCTTGAATGGGCTAGTGACTGTGACAGCATGGAATTCAAATGAGGAGATAGACAGATGGGTCAGGGGAGAAAGAGAGAATGTCCACTTGGGAGAGATGAGGATTCCTGTGCCATCGCCCCGCTGACCAGATGCTCTCGGGGTATGCGAGAACACATGGTCAGATGAGGAGAGAGCAGTAGGAGTAGCAGTGTTTTCTGAAGTAATCCATGTTTCCGTCAGCGCCAAGAAGTCGAGGGACTGGAGGGTAGCATAGGCTGAGATGAACTCTGCCTTGTTGGCCGCAGAACGGCAGTTCCAGAGGCTGCCGGAGGCCTGGAACTCCACGTGGGTCGTGCGTGCAGGGACCACCAGGTTAGAGAGGCAGCAGCCACGCTGTGTGAGGCGTTTGTATGGCCTGTGCGGTTAGGAGAGAACAGGGATAGACAGAAACATAGTTGACAGGCTACAGAAAAGGCTACACTAATGCAAAGGAGATCGGAATGAAATTAACTAAACATCTGGGGAAGCGAGGCCTCCCTCACTAACCTTTCACTGAAACACTCAAATACAACTCTTCCAACTTCAACTTTAGAAACTATAATTGCTGTAAACTACAGTTGTTCAATGTTTCCAGGAATAGACTAACTTAGTTTATTCAACTAGCTAACTTGGTACAGTATTCTTCTGTGAAAATCACTCAGGGCACTGTATCCTATGACGCCATAGCTAACTAGCATGCTAGCATCCAATAACACACGGTTTAGCACCAATACTTGGTTACAACAAACTACCAATGGATCATTCATGTCCGTGTCTAGTTCCTTTCATAACGCAGAAGTAATTAAACGTTGGCTAGCTAGCACGAAGTCAGTCATGCTAGCTACACAAGTGGACAACACATCTCGAATGTTCAGAAAGTGAAGCTTACGTTGCAAAATTCTCATTGACTAAAATGATACAGTACTGCTAGCTGGTAATGTTGGCTAGATAGCAGTGGCTGCGGTGTTGACAGTTTGAAAATGTAGCTGGCTAGCTAACCTCGATAGTTTCTCTATACTACACCTTTGTCTTTGATACCAAGACAACTATGTAGCTAGCTAACTTTACACTGATCAAATCGTTCCATTGAAATGTATTTAGTTGCTACAGTACTGCTAGCTGGTATAGTTGGCCAGCTAGCAGTGGCTACGGTGTTGCTACCCGCTAGCTAGCTAGCTTTAATGGTCCAGGTAGTGGGTTAGCTAGCTAGCCTGGTGCTTCACCGGGCTCAGCCGAATACACTACAATACTTACCTACAATAACTACCTACAATAACTACCTGGATAAACTACCTACAATACCTAACTACAATACCTACCTACAATCTAAATGCATGGTTTAAGCTTTACTCGACACATATAAAAAAGAAGCCAAGCTTACCTCCCCACTTAGAGGAACACAACCTCACCCCATCGCTCCTCAGGTACGGAGGAGGAGCGGTCCTGGGTGCCCAGGAGGAACATTCTGGACCCAGGCCTGATAACAACATTCCGTCGCCTTCACCCGGAGGCGCCGAGGTGAACGCCTGGGGCTGTTTGTCAGGGGGTACTGTTACAGGAGGGGGTCGCAGTTCCGGAGCAACCCACAAGGTGTCATCCTCTGACATCTTTAGGAACCTCCTCACTCACAGTCTGGACTAAACATTATCCTATTGGTGTCACCTGTGTCTACCTGTTCACCTGTGTATTTATGCCCTCACTTCCCTGTGTTCCCTTGCTCTGTTTTCTCTGCTAGTTCTCGATGCAAAACAGTACTAATCAGTGTCTGATCGCGAGACGTATGTACAGGTACTTGAGAAGTGTTCTCCCTGTTTCATTGTTGTTTTCAGACGTAGTAAGTATTTCGTATGTTTGCTGTCAGCCTGTTTTTGGAGACCAATTTGCTCCTCCTTTATTTTTTCATGACAAGTCGGTTATTTTGTATCCCGGTTTTGGGACCACCAGTAAAGATCCTTGTTTCACCATCTCTACCTACTGCCTACTGTCTATCCTGCACCGCACCTGAGTCACACATCACACCAACCCTTACAGTAGAGGTGCTGAGATCAGTGGCATTGAGAGTGCAGATTGGAAAAGCGATCAAAGAGGGAGAGGATGAGATGACAGATCCTTGCTGCTCTGCTGTCTCTGGTCTGTCTGAGAGGATCCGGCTCTCACATTCACACTAATCTAGGCCTCCATTATCATGGAGCACACCCGCCTGAAATATTCCACTGGTCTGAAATACAATAGTCCCACTTTGATTCAATCCCACTTCCATGGAACCTAGCATCTGGAATAGGGAACTTCTTACTTATTTTCTTATTAGCCTAACAGCAGATACTATAAATGTTGCTGGCCCTGGGGCTGAGGCTATCCTCAAGTAAAAGGTGACCCCATTGTGCTGGACTGTCACCATGATACAGTGCAGTACCTAACCCAGAGTCTCTCTCTGTGTCCATGCAGAGGTGTCTGTTTCATTTGATAGAGAATCGTCAGTGACCTACACCTTCCAGGAGCCTTTCTCTGTGATGCAGAACAGGAGCTCCCAGGCCTCCAGCGTCTACAGAGAGAGCAGCAGGGCCAGAGAGAACATGGCTTTCAGCTTCATGACCACACAAAGCCCTGCCATGCTGCTCACTATCAGCACCTTCAGCCAGCAGTACATAGCAGTCATCCTGGCACGCAACGGTATGGACCCCTCTACTAATTTTTCACTATAATAAATAAGGATTATCAAGGTAGGATTCATACCACTGAATTCCCGGTTTAACCCAGTTTGTGTTGTGATCTACAGGGAGTCTCCAGATCTGGTATTGTCTCCATGTTGACAGAAAGCCAGATGTGTTCAGCCCCAGCCCTAGAAGCCTGGCAGATGGACGCCTCCACCGTATCAGAATCGACCGTCAGGGAAAAGATGTCTACCTACAGGTGAGAGAAGGATACATATGGGATGTTTACATCAAAGGGATGTATAAACATTTGGGATGTTTACATTTGCATGTGTCAAAGGGAAATGTAGACGCAGGGGAGTGAAGAGAGTGAGGAGCAGGGGAGTGAAGAGCGTGAGGAGCAGGGGAGTGAATAGAGTGAGGAGCCGGGGAGTGAAGAGAGTGAGGAGCAGGGGAGTGAGAGAGTGAGGAGCAGGGGAGTGAAGAGAGTGAGGAGCAGGGGAGTGAAGAGAGTGTGGAGCAGGGGAGTGAAGAGAGTGAGGAGCAGGGGAGTGAAGAGAGTGAGGAGCAGGGGAGTGAAGAGAGTGAGGAACAGGGGAGTGAAGAGAGTGAGGAGCAGGGGAGTGAAGAGAGTGAGGAGCAGGGGAGTGAAGAGAGTGAGGAGCAGTGGAGTGAAGAGAGTGGGGAGCAGGGGAGTGAAGAGAGTGCGGAGCAGGGGAGTGAAGAGAGTGAGGAGCAGGGGTGAAGAGAGTGAGGAGCAGGGGAGTGAAGAGAGTGAGGAGCAGGGGAGTGAAGAGAGTGAGGAGCAGGGGAGTGAAGAGGATATGTACAAGGTGTATTGAAATAGTTGGTGCTATAAAAATAAATGTAAAATATAAAAGATGACATGTGAGCAGAGAGAGGAACTACGCTGTACTTGGTCACCATGAGAAAAAATATAATTACATTTACATTTACATTTACATCATTTAGCAGACAATCTTATCCAGAGCGACTTACAAATTGGTGCATTCAACTTATGATAGCAAGTGGGACAACCACTTTTTCCTTCTTTTTTTTATGGGGGGGTGGGGGAGGGGGGGGGTAGAAGGATGACTTTATACTATTCCAGGTATTCTTTAAAGAGGTAGGGTTTCAAGTGTCTCCAGAAAGTGGTCAGTGACTCCGCTGTCCTGGTGTCGTGGGGGAGCTAGTTCCACCATTGGGGTGCCATAGCAGCAAATAGCTTTGACTGGGCTGAGCGGGAACTGTGCTTCTGTAGAGGTAGGGGAGCTAGCAGGCCAGAGGTGGATGAACGTAGTGCCCTCGTTTGGGTGTAGGGTCTGATCAGAGCCTGAAGGTAAGGAGGTGCCGTTCCCCTCACAGCTCCGTAGGCAAGCACCATGGTCTTGTAGTAGATGCGAGCCTCAACTGGAAGCCAGTGGAGTGTGCGGAGGAGCGGGGTGACATGAGAGAACTTGGGAAGGTCGAACACCAGACGGGCTGCGGCATTCTGGATAAGTTGTAGGGATTTAATGGCACAGGCAGGGAGCCCGGCCAACAGCGAGTTGCAGCAATCCAGACGGGAGATGACAAGTGCCTGGATTAGGACCTGTGCCGCTTTCTGTGTAAGATAGGGTCGTACTCTGCGAATGTTGTAGAGCATGAACCTGCAGGATCGGGTCACCGCTTTGATGTTAGCGGAGAACGACAGGGTGTTGTCCAGGGTCACGCCAAGGTTCTTTGCACTCTGGGAGGAGGACACAATGGAGTTGTCAACCGTAATGGCGAGATCATGGAGCGGGCAGTCCTTCCCCAGGAGGAAGAGCAGCTCCGTCTTGCCAAGGTTCAGCTTGAGGTGGTGATCCGACATCCACACTGATATGTCTGCCAGACATGCAGAGATACGATTCGCCACCTGGTTATCAGAAATTAATTGTGTGTTGTCTGCGTAGCAATGATAGGAAAGACCATGTGAGGATATGACAGAGCCAAGTGACTTGGTGTATAGAGAGAATAGGAGAGCGCCTAGAACTGAGCCCTGGGGGACACCAGTGGTGAGAGCACGTGGTGCGGAGACAGATTCTCGCCACGCCAACTGGTAGGAGCAACCTGTCAGGTAGGACGCAATCCAAGAGTGAGCAGCGCTGGAGATGCCCAACTCGGAGAGGGTGGAGAGGAGGATCTGATGGTTCACAGTATCAAAGGCAGCGGATAGTTAGCTTTAGCAGTGCGGAGAGCCTCCGTGACACAGAGAAGAGCAGTCTCAGTTGAATGACCAGTCTTGAAACCTGACTGGTTTGGATCAAGAAGGTCATTCTGAGAGAGATAGCAGGAGAGTTGGCTAGAGATGGCACGCTCAAGAGTTTTGGAGAGAAAAGAAAGAAGGGATACTGGTCTGTAGTTGTTGACATCGGAGGGATCGAGTGCAGGTTTTTTGAGGAGGGGTGCAACTCTCGCTCTCTTGAAGACGGAAGGGACATGGCCAGTGGTCAAGGATGAGTTGATGAGCGAGGTGAGGTAAGGGAGAAGGTCTCCGGAAATGGTCTGGAGAAGAGAGGAGGGGAGGGGATAGGGTCAAGTTGGCAGGTTGTTGGGTGGCCGGCCGTCACAAGTCGCAAGATTTCATCTGGAGAGAGAGGGGAGAAAGAAGTCAAAGCATAGGGTAGGGCAGTGTGAGCAGGACCAGCGGTGTCATTTGTCTTAGTAAATGAGGATTGGATGTCGTCAACCTTCTTTTCAAAATGGTTGATGAAGTCATCCACAGAGAAGGAGGAGGGAGTGGGAGGAGGAGGATGATTCAGCAGGGAGGAGAAGGTGGCAAAGAGCTTCCTAGGGTTAGAGGCAGAGGCTTGAAATTTAGAGTGGTAGAAAGTGGCTTTAGCAGTGGAAACAGAGGAAGAGAATGTAGAGAGGAGGGAGTGAAAAGATGACAGGTCCGCAGGGAGTCTAGTTTTCCTCCATTTCCCCTCTTCTGTGAGCTCGCAATGAGTCGTCAAGCCACGGAGCAGGAGGGGAGGACCGAGCCGGCCGGGAGGATAGGGGACATAGAGAGTCAAACGATGCAGAAAGGGAGGAGAGGAGGGTTGAGGAGGCAGAATCAGAAGATTGGAGGGAGAAGGATTTAGCAGAGGGAAGAGATGATAGGATGGAAGAGGAGAGAGTAGCGGGAGAGAGAGAGCGAAGGTTGCGACGGCACATTATCATCTGAGTAGGGGCAGAGTGAGTAGTGTTGGAGGAGAGCGAGAGAGAAAAGGTAGTAGTGGTCGGAGACTTGGAGGGGAGTTGCAGTGAGATTAGTAGAAGAACAGCATCTAGTAAAGATGAGGTCAAGCGTATTGCCTGCCTTGTGAGTAGGGGGAGACGGTGAGAGGGTGAGGTCAAAAGAGGAAAGGAGTGGAGGAAGGAGGCAGAGAGAAATTAGTCAAAGGCAGACATAGGGAGGTTAAAGTCACCAGAACTGTGAGGGGTGAGCCATCCTCAGGAAAGGAACTTATCAAAGCGTCAAGCTCATTGATGAACTCTCCAAGGGAACCTGGAGGGCGATAAATGACAAGGATGTTAAGCTTGAATGGGCTAGTGACTGTGACAGCATGGAATTCAAATGAGGAGATAGACAGATGGGTCAGGGGAGAAAGAGAGAATGTACACTTGGGAGAGATGAGGATTCCTGTGCCACCGCCGCGCTGACCAGATGCTCTCGGGGTATGCGAGAACACATGGTCAGACGAGGAGAGAGCAGTAGGAGTAGCAGTGTTTTCAGTGGTAATCCATGTTTCCGTCAGCGCCAAGAAGTCGAGGGACTGGAGGGTAGCATAGGCTGAGATGAACTCTGCCTTGTTGGCTGCAGAACGGCAGTTCCAGAGGCTGCCAGAGACCTGGAACTCCACGTGGGTCGTGCGTGCAGGGACCACCAGATTAGAGTGGCAACAGCCACGTGGTGTGAAGCGTTTGTATGGCCTGTGCAGAGAGGAGAGAACAGGGATAGACAGACACATAGTTGACAGGCTACAGAGAAAGGCTACAATAATGCAAAGGAGATCGGAATGAAATGAACTAAACATCTGGGAAAGCGAGAGAGGGGGGCCTCCCTCACTTACGTTTCACTGAAACACTCAAATATAATTGTTTTAAACTACAGCGGTTCAATGTTTTTATGAATAGACTCTAACTTAGTTTATTCAGCTAGCTAACTTGGTACACCGAATCCTATGACGCCAAAGCCAACTAGCATGCCAGCCTCCAATAACACGGTTTAGCACCAATACTCGGTTACAACAAACCACCAGTGTGTTAACACGCCAAGCAGATCATTCGTGTCCGTGTCTAAAGTTGTGTAAAGTTTTGGGTTAGTTTTGACAGTTTGAGTGAGTACGTCGTCAATTACGGTAGCTAACACTAACCAATGTGTTGGATTGACCAAGTATACTGTATGTGGTTGAATGTGTTATTCACACCTTCTTGTCCTTTTTCCCTTTCCCACTCAACTAGATTGACAAGGACATGAACCTAAAGTACAGCCTGTCATCAGACACAGAGTTAATCTCCATCAAATCACTGACTTTGGGGAAAGTCACAGGTGAGCCCACCAGAGAAATGAGGACCTGTTGGTTAATGTAGTTTGAAATGACGGAATGACTGGGGGCTACTGTCAAAGTTTTATTTCTATATGGAAGAAAGAAACAGCCTAGGACATGGTTGCAGGGATTTGGAGAATCAGTCTTTGCAATAATAGCAAAGCTTGTAAGCTGGAAGAGATAGAAGAGACGTGTCAGTAATATTACATGTGATATAGGAATTCTAAGAATTAGATTTGGTCAAATATCTTAATCACTTCTTGCATCTGCTGTAGAATTGACAAACAGATGGGGAGGGGTGTGAGCCACTCCCATCACCACCCCACCAGGACATTGTATCTGTCTAATAATAAATAAATAAATACAATAATAATCAGTCTCACGTTGCACGCACCGCAAATCTTGGGAGTATTGCACTCAAGCTTATCACTTTGAGCATTAGTCAGAAGCTAAATGGAACTCTTATGTAAATAAAGCCTAATTTGTCTAACAGAGATTCGCAATAGCTTGGGGAACTAGCAAATCTATGCTAATTGACAACACAATTTACTTTTTAAAACAAATGTATTCATCTTATCATTAAGGTACCGCAGATCCCCACGGATGAATACATTTTAAATAGAGATTTTGAGAGGAACATTATTTTTTGGACATTGGTCATTGGCAATGTATAAGATATTTAGAGCCATTGAACAAAACATATTAAACACAGGCCTATAAGCCTTAATCATCTAATGGTAATTGCTGTATTTCCAACTTTTTCATCAAACTCATAAAAAATCATGAGGGTAGAGTTAAACAGACAAAATCAAATCTCCATCATGTATGCCAAATCTGGCCTTTTACTATATAGGACATAACATTCCCTCTAGGGTATGCTGTTTATCTCTCTCAGTCACATTCTATTCATATGACTTCAGCACAGCACAACAGCATCCACTTGTTATCTAAAGGATCAAAGGAAAGACATGTACCTTCTTGGCTGGGTTATGTCTCCTAGGGACCTATTAAGTCAAAATGAATGCTGCAGCTCCACAAACAACGATCAATGATAGACCATGGTGGCGATGATCATTGTACAACTGTTTTGGGGGCAACTACTTCCTCTACAGCAAATTTGTCCCCCATTGGAAGTATGCTGGTAATTATAGATTTCAAACCAATTAGATATTATTATTTTAAAGGGAAGATGCTGTTGAATGTTCACTCACATGGTCTGATTAGCTCCATTATTTAACTATAGAATGTTTTATATAGGAAGAAGACCATATCTTTAGAGGAATGACAGGCACACTCCTATCTCTGTTGTATCTTATATTCCCATCTACTCTTGTCCTTAACACAAATCAAAATAGTAAATTGCATCTCAGCTCTCCTATCTCTGATTAATTATATTCAAGTGCTTTAAGCAGCCATGATGCTATCTGTATATGTGGCAGTCGTTATGATTACTTTCCTGCAAATTATGAGGAATCTTTAAATAAACGTATTGTGTAGCTCTAATTTCATTTGCATACATTTCATATGCAATTACAGACTCTCTCATTGAACATAACAAGCAGGGACAATTTTCATACAGTCTCAAGAGAGCCTGCTCAATGGGTCATATCTCACATTGACAAACAGAGATTGCTATAAGGGATACTATACAACATGCACATTAGTCAAATGTATGCACGCATGACTGTAAGTCACTTTTGATAGAAGTGTCTGCTAAATGGCATATATTATATAACTATTATTCAAAGTTAGATACTGTTGTAATTGTGGCAGTCGTGGATGTTTGAATGTTTTATTAACATCCAGATGAATAGATAAATCAGTGAGTCCCCTACTTATTGTTTACAGGAGTGGATGCTGTGGATGAGGAAGTGATGCGGGCAGGATCTAAGGGCTTCATTGGCTGTCTGTCATCAGTCCAGTTTAATCACATGGCTCCACTGAAGGCAGTGCTACTTAACCGTGGCAGCTCATTGGTCACTGTTCGAGGTCACCTGGTGGAGTCTAACTGTGGGACGCTGGCTGACTCGACAATATTGCACTCTCAATCAGGTATTGTATGATGTATTCAAAATGTAATGTATTTCTGCCATTTTGGAAGAGGTGGGGTACAAAGATTAACTGTATTTAACTTGTATAGTTTTAACTGTGGAAAATGTCATTTAAAGTAACTATCCGGCTATAATTAATGAGCTATAATTAATAACAATATAAGTGAAATCGTTTTTCCTTCCAAGTTTTTTCTTCCAAGTATGCTAAAAAGCAGCTTTTCTGTGTTTGAATTGTGTGGGCGTACCCCAATATGAGAATGGTGTGGGTGTTAGTGATGTGCGGGTTGACTCATAACCCACAGTCCCCACGATTATATCTGCAGGTTTAGGGTCATGAAGTATTGTGTGGATGAAGGGCGGGTGGGGGGTGGTCGGGCTGAATGAAGAGAACACAATACCTTAAAAAATCCATAAATGTATCATTATTGTGCAATTTATATCTATAGGCTACATTGAGGTTTTTCTTTCATTATTTTAGGCTATCTGGCATTAGTGTGTAAGCCTAAACTTTAGGGCCTAACTGTATGGGCGCCAAATAGCCTATACGCCAATCGCCAAATACTTTTGGGAACAAGCAGAAAAAGTTAACGTTGATCCACGGAGGCAAAAAGCTGCAAAATGGAGAGTTGAAATTAAAGAGAAGGCAGGGCCAGAAAAGTAATGTTTGGGAAAGATTTGGTGAAGTGGTAAAAGAGGATGATATCAGTGCCGGCTATGTTGTGTGATGATTTTGAGGCGCTATACAAATTTGACAGTCACAAGACACGGACTTCAAATAGGCCTACTGTAGCCTACTGTTCAGATGGGTTAAATGGAAACTGAAATCTGGACACTGACTGTCACACCCTGACTTATGGGACTCTTGTATGTTGAGTCAGGGTGTGGAGATCTATGTCATTATTTCTATGTTCACATTCTAGTTATTGTATTTCTACGTTTGGCCGGGTGTGATTCCCAATCAGAGGCAGCTGTCGCTCGTTGTCTCTGATTGGGGATCATACTTAAGTTGCCTGGTTGCAATCATTAGTTGTGGGATCTTGTTCCGTGTGTAGGCTTGTTTTGTGTTTAGCCTGAGGACTTCACGTTACGTTGGTTTGTTGTTTTGTTCGTGTGTTTATTCGTTGAAATAAAAATGTATGCATTTCACGCTGTGCCTTGGTCTGACCCGTCCTTAAACGAACGTAACAGAAGATCCCACCAAACAAGGACCAAGCAGCGTGCCCAGGAGCAAACACCCTGGACACAGGTGGGGAAGATTTGGTCTTGGGAGGAGATATTTGCGGGGAAAGGACCATGGGCGAAGGTAGATGCCCAGGCAGGAGAGGAGCAACGGCCAGCTGAGGAGGAAGCCCGAGAGGCAGCCCCAATAAAAAAAAAATTGGGGGGCTAAAGGGGTGGTCGGGGAGCGAGAGAGAAGAGCCCCGACCACTGCACCCGGTGGGTTTCCAGGTTGAGTCCCTACGACCATGGGAAGAAGAGTGGGAACAGTTTTATACTGAGGAGTCGGAGGATGACGACAATGATGAGTTTCTGTTCCTTAACTCCCGGAGGAGTCCTCACTGGAGGAGGAGAGCCGAGAGAGAGAGAAGGATCGGATCAGCAGGGTAAGAGAGGAGGCCACCACATTACGGGGGCTGATAGCAAGAATAGAGCGGGAGAGCTCCATTCAAGAGGAGGCACTGCAGGAGGCTCATAGGGAGAAGGAGGAAGTAGATGCACGGAGAGAGGAGCTGGTTAGGCAACATAAGGAGCGTGGGTTAATAGAGGAACCCATGTATGCGGAGATACGCACTGTATCGCCAGTGCGCATGCACAGCCCAGTGCGTTCTGTACCAGCGCCCCGCACGTGTCGTGCGAAAGTGGGCAGCCAGCCAGGACGGGTTGTGCCGGCTCAACGCTCCTGGTCTCCAGTGCACCTCCAGGGTCCAGTATATCCTGCTCCGGTTCTACGCAATGTGTCACCAGTGCACCTCACCAGTCCTGTACGGCCCGTACCTGCTCCTCGCACCAAGCCAGTGGTGTGTGTCCCCAGTCTGGCCCGGCCTGTTCCTGCTCCTCGCACCAGACCAGTGGTGCGTGTTCCCAGTCCGGTCCGGCCCGTTCCTGCTCCTCTCACCAAGCCAGTGGTGCGTGTTCCCAGTCCGGTCCGGCCCGTTCCTGCTCCTCTCACCAAGCCAGTGGTGCGTGTTCCCAGTCCGGCCCGGCCAGTTCCTGTTCCTCGCACCAAGCCAATGGTGCGTGTCGCCAGCCCGGTACGACCCGTGCTTGCTTCCCGCACCAAGCCAGAGTAGTCCGTTCCACCGGGGTCCAATCCAGCTCTGGTCAGCAGCTCCACTCCGGAGCCAGAGCAGTCTGCTCCACCGGTGCCTAGTCCAGCTCCGGTCAGCGGCTCCAGTCCAGACCCAGACGTCAGCCCCTCTCCAGGTTCGGGGTCTCCCACATCAGGGCCCAGACAGGGCTTGGTGCATCGTGGGAGGAAGGAGAGGGGAAGCAGCACGCCGAGGTCCAGACCAGACCAGGGGCGCAACGGGGAGGCTGAGAGAATGTGGTCGTCACGCCCGGAGCCGGATCCGCCTCCGAGGGGGAATGCCCACCCGGACCCTACCCTGTTATGTCAGGTTTGTGCGGTCGGAGTCCGCACCTTTGGAGGGGGGTACTGTCACACCTTGACTTATGGGACTCTTGTATGTTGAGTCAGGGTGTGGAGATCTATGTAATTATTTCTATGTTCACATTCTAGTTATTGCATTTCTATGTTTGGCCGGGTGTGATTCCCAATCAGAGGCAGCTGTCGCTCATTGTCTCTGATTGGGGATCATACTTAAGTTGCCTGGTTGCAATCATTAGTTGTGGGATCTTGTTCCGTGTGTAGGCTTGTTTTGTGTTTAACCTGAGGACTTCACGTTACGTTGGTTTGTTGTTTTGTTCGTGTGTTTATTCGTTGAAATAAACATGTATGCATTTCATGCTGTGCCTTGGTCTGACCCATCCTTAAACGAACGTGACACTGACTGTAGGTCTATAACCTCTCACATAGCCTCTATATTTTGACTATAGAACAGGAGTGGAAAAATATGATTTCTTTCTTTCAGCATCTTGAGAGAATGTGAATGCGCAGTTAGATACTGTGTGTAGAGGTACTGTCTTTATCAGTATAATAAAAGCTGATAGTATTTCAACCACATAAAATGTACATCCAAGCCGAACTGAAATCTTATCAGAAACATGTTGGGTCGTTTTCACAACTTTCTATTTCCTTACGACCGGTCCCTAAACGTCTTTGCTCCGCCAAAGAAGCCGAGATGACAGAGAAAACTGTACTGATGTCAACTAGATTGAAGCATTAATTCTATCGATGTATTACATTATTCTGGTGAGCAAGGGTTTATTTAGTCTTCTAGGTCAACATATAATGACAGGAGAGAAGCTGCATGTATATAAATATAGACAAGTTGACTTACAAATAGCTTACCAAAATGTTGGAAATTATAAGGAGAAACGTCCTGCACCCCCTGTCAAAAAATTGTTCCGCCGTTTCTGACTGTAGCTTACAGCGCATTTTAGTCGGGAGCGGGCCTCAGATTTTCACTTGATCACATATAGTCGGGCGGATGGATTATTAGCAATTGCAGGTGGGTGGGGTTGAACAAATAGCTGATCCGCGCACCACTAGTGGGTGCATACCGGTCATTTATAATATTAATGAGAAGTAAACAGCTGATTGGGCAGCTCAGCCACTGAGCCAACTTGTCTTTTTTATTTAACTAGGCAAGTCAGTTAAGAACAAATTCTTATTTACAATGACAGCCTACACCGGCCACCGGCCAAACCAATGACGACGCTGGGTCAATTGTGCGCCGCCCTTTGGGACTCCCAATCACGGCCGGTTGTGATACAGCCTGGAATCGAACCAGGGGGTCTGTAGTGACACCTCAAGCACTGAGATGCAGTGCCTTAGACCACTGTGCCACTCGGGAGCCAAAAAATGAGGAAATAGCAAGCATTTTTTAAACACTGTTTGAGATACAAGTTTGAGATGGGATTTTTAAAATAATTTTTGGGTGTTATTTATGCTTTGCCCACAAATGTGAGTATAGGAAGAGTCAACATTATTTGTGTATAAGTTAACAGAATATGAGCCTTCAAAAGTGAGATTTTCACCAGACACAGTTACTTTAATATTTCAATTTTGTCAACACTGAAGCCGTGATTGTTTTCAGTCTGTCAGATTCTTCCATTGTCACAATGATGGTACCCAAGTGAATGTTGCTTATTATTTTATGTTTGTTTTTCATCCATATCCTTCGGTCGCCCAGTTCTCAAACAAACGAGAGATCAATGATCTAATCCATTCCTCATGATGTCACCGCTCTCTCTTCCCTCCTCCGGTAGATCATTCAGAGACTGTCGGCAGAGGCAAAGGGCCATTAAGGAAGGTTTCAAAAAGCAACTCGGCGGTAATTGGAGGTGAGTTTTCCAATTCAGAGTTGTTAAAGTGCTCAATTGCAAAAGTCAATGTGATGTGAAATGTGCCCCAGCGATCTCTGCCTTTCTCATCAGACGTTTTCTAGGAATAATGGAATAATGTGTGTCTGTCAAGATAGGATAACATGCTACAATTTAAGGCATTTCCAGCCCTGGAGAGACATCCAAAGTAATTACCCAGAAGTGATGTTATTTGAACTGTAAAGTAAAAGGTCTTGTAAATTGACTTTCAGTCAGATATGATTGTATGCCATGGAGATAATGGAATGACTGATCTATATATTCCTAAGTCAATTTCTAAGTCAATTCCTAGTGAGACATTTTTGTCAAGGGATTTTAAGTTCAAACTCACAATTATCTCAGTGCCACTGAAGTTAAAAGATATGAAAAGCCATTTTGCTGAGCCTAAACAGCCAAATTACAATCAAATCAAATGTTATTCGTCACATGCTTTGTAAACAACAGGTGTAGACCAACAGTGAAATGCTTACTTTTGGGCCCTTCCCAACAATGCAGAGAGAGAGAAATTACTTAATAGATATAATACAGACACAGAAAAAGTGAAATCCTGATAGAAGAAAGAACTTCCTCTGTGGTCCACTAAAGATGACTGCTATTTGTCCCCCACAGGAGTGGTGACAGCTGTGGTCTTCATCACTCTGTGTGTGGTGGCGGTGATGACCCGTTTCCTGTACCAACACCGGCAAGCCCAGAGAGACGCCAGCATCAAGGAGAAGGAGCACCGACACAACCTGGAAACAGCCTACCGGAGAGAAGCAGCCTACCAAGCAGAACCAGCCTACCGGACAGAGCTCCACCTCCACCACAGCTCCACCCTCAGGGACAACAGGGAGTACTACATCTGAACACCAGTGTCCCAGTCCGTTGGTCATCAGGGAAGGCCTCTTCTCTGTTAGTGGATTGGGAAGTGGAGATGTTTCTGCAGAATCATGGACAACATTCCGAACAAACAAAATAACCCAGAGCCCAAGCCCAGTACCCTTGCCCAGGGATTCTGCCGGGGCCTTTTCCCACTGTCTGATTGTTACAAAACATGTAGGTAGTGGACTGCAAGTTTAGCCAATTTTTAGGGCTGTAAGTATATTACGTGGTCAGTGGAACTGTTAAACAATATGGAGTGAATATGCAGGTGTGATTGTGAACCATTTCTCAACCAGCAGAGGTAAGGACTGAGATAATGAAGGAAAGGAAACATAAGTGAATGTCACCTGCCACACCTACTGAATGTGTACAAATTCCTGAAGACATCATTCTTCTTGTAACCCCCAATATTCTTCAAGATTTCCCACAGAGTCCTGTGGAACGTCCTAAATTAAATCTGAAAGATAAGAACGTACTGTAGGTCTGTAAGTGACGCCAACTGTGAACTCTGCAGTGTGGCAAGGGGCCTATACTGCCTTCTGTAAGAGTGCCTCTTCATATTGTTTTAACCTTTTTTTTTTTACAACCCTTTACAACTTGGTTTCAACTCGTTAGTGTTAACTTGTGTTTAGAATTTTTTATAAGGGAATCAATCACACATCTGAACATCAACCACCTGTCCTGTAAAATCTTCCTCTGTTCGAACCTATAACAAATGGAAGGTGTATTTTGGTGTAATTATATAATGCTGGAATGTATATTTAAATGATAGATTGTGCTCAAAGGGGAGCATTTTGCTGTTAAAATGGATGGATGAGTACAGTTTATGTTCCACTTCAAAAGTAAAAATATATTTTAGGACAAACATTTTAGGACAAAACGAGACAACCTGATAGGTTTAATTCACAGTGCTGGGCCAGATCCATTAGAGACATGCCTGTGACTGGAATTTACCTACAAATCTGCCATTCAAATCAATGCATGGTTGTGCGAAGATTCAAGTCACGAAGGTGCGTCTCAAGACAAGAAATGATCAGATGACTATAGGAAAACTTTACTAACCTCTAATAATGAGATTTTGCTCATTGTTTTATTACAATATTTGTCATTTATTTACCTTTCCTTCTTTATGATTTGTATAGTTGCAGTTGTACAGGTATATTGTATAGATGTATATTTATTAATAAACTGAAGACATTCTTAATGATATGTTGTAATTTTCCCTTCTTACATCCCTTGTAATAGTTCAGTTGACTGTGATGTCAATTAAAATAATAAGGATTTGCAAGTCAATTCAATCTTCAGAAATGTAGTAACCTACATTAAAATATGTTGAGTGTAATATCAATATCAAATGCATGATTATAGGATCATGTACTTTAAATTCCCCAAGTCCTCATCTAACCTCTTTTGATCTTCCAGGCAAATAGATACACACACTCCCCACTTTACATGCTCAATGGAGGGTTGATACAGTCAGTTTGAAATAGAACAACAATGCCATGAGCCGCCTAATTTTCTTTTATCTCTGTTGACACTGTATATGTAAAATATGTTCAATCAAATAAAAATGTATCAAGACAAAGGTTGGGCTGTTGGAATGATAAATTGAGAGACCTATCATTCATTCACTGATTGATTTGTTCAAGAGAGATCTCAAGAAAACAGCTGTTTTGAAAATGCTATATTGTTGAATATGGTCTTTACCTTTGCCCTTTACCTTTTGTCTGCTATGTCCTCAGAGAGGGTGTAACGGAGTCATAACCTCACTCCCCATCTTGAAATGTCTCCACACACGCTAATGAATAACTAGCTTTTCTATAGCGTAATTTGCTAAGATATTTTCAAGCGGGTGGTCACGTGTGTTTGCGAGGCAGAGGATCCCAGGTTCAAGGACAGTGCAGGACAGAGACAGGGAAGGAAGCTACAGTGAGTGAAAAAAGTATTTGATCCCCTGCTGATTTTGTATGTTTGCCCACTGAAAAAGACATGATCAGTCTATAATTTTAATGGTAGGTTTATTTGAACAGTGAGAGACAGAATAACAATTAAAAAATCCAGAAAAACGCATGTCAAAAATGTTATAAATTGATTTGAATTTTAATAAGGGAAATAAGTATTTGACCCCTCTGCAAAACATGACTTAGTACTTGTTGGCAAAACCCTTGTTGGCAATCACAGAGGTCAGACGTTTCTTGTAGTTGGCCACCAGGTTTGCACACATCTCAGGAGGGATTTTGTCCCACTCCTCTTTGCAGATCTTCTCCAAGTCATTAAGGTTTCGAGACTTACGTTTGGCAACTCGAACCTTCAGCTCCCTCCACAGATTTCTATTGGATTAAGGTCTGGAGACTGGCTAGGCCACTCCAGGACCTTAATGTGCTTCTTCCTGAGCCACTCCTTTGTTGCCTTGGCCGTGTGTTTTGGGTCATTGCCATGCTGGAATACCCATCCACGACCCATTTTCAATGCCCTGGCTGAGGGAAGGAAGTTCTCACCCAAGATTTGATGGTACATGGCCCCGTCCATCGTCCCTTTGATGCGTTGAAGTTGTCCTGTCCCCTTAGCAGAAAAACACGCCCAAACCATAATGTTTCCACCTCCATGTTTGACGGTGGGGATGGTGTTCTTGGGGTCATAAGCAGCATTCCTCCTCCTCCAAACATGGCGAGTTGAGTTGATGCCAAAGAGCTCGATTTTGGTCTCATCTGACCACAACACTTTCACCCAGTTCTCCTCTGAATCATTCAGAGGTTCATTGGCAAACTTCAGACGGGCCTGTATATGTGCTTTCTTGAGCAGGGGGACCTTGCGGGCACTGCAGGATTTCAGTCCTTCACGGCGTAGTGTGTTACCAATTGTTTTCTTTGTGACTATGGTCCCAGCTGCCTTGAGATCATTGACAAGATCCTCCTGTGTAGTTCTGGGCTGATTCCTCACCGTTCTCATGATCATTGCAATTCCACGAGGTGAGATCTTGCATGGAGCCCCAGGCCGAGGGAGATTGACAGTTCTTTTGTGTTTCTTCCATCTGCGAATAATCGCACCAACTGTTGTCACCTTCTCACCAAGCTGCTTGGCGATGGTCTTGTAGCCCATTCCAGCCTTGTGTAGGTCTACAATCTTGTCCCTGACATCCTTGGAGATCTCTTTGGTCTTGGCCATGGTGGAGAGTTTGGAATCTGATTGATTGATTGCTTCTGCGGACAGGTGTCTTTTATACAGGTAACAAACTGAGATTAGGAGCACTCCCTTTAAGAGTGTGCTCCTAATCTCAGCTCGTTACCTGTATAAAAGACACCTGGGAGCCAGAAATCTTTCTGATTGAGAGGGGTCAAATACTTCTTTCCCTAATTAAAATGCAAATCAATTTATAACATTTTTGACATGCGTTTTTCTGGATTTTGTTTTGTTGTTATTCTGTCTCTCACTGTTCAAATAAACCTACCATTAAAATCATAAACTGATCATTTCTTTGTCAGTGGGCAAACGCACTAAATCAGCAGTGGATCAAATACTTGTTTCCCTCACTGTATATGTTAAGCAAGTACAGTGAGGCCTGTTTCATGGGCAGGGGGCAAGACTTCAACAGTCTCTAAAAGTCCTCCTGATTTCAATGGTTGCAATAAGAATGTTGTTTGGTTTGTCCGTTTATCATCCCTTCAGCTTCTGAACTGGCCCTGGTCTATTGCTTCACTTGAGTGGGCAACCTGCCTTCCGTGACTTAACTCTGCATTCTCATCTAACCTCTTGTGACATCCTCCAGGCTAATAGATACAAACCATTCCCACTTTACAAGCTCAATATAGGTACGATACGATCAATTTACTACAGCAATGATTCACCTGAACAGACATGTCTGTTTTGACCTCAAGAGGAAGGTTGTGATGATAAATTGCAAGACCCATCATTCATTCAATGATACATTCACTCTAGAGAGATCTCAACAACAGACGTTTTGAGGACGCAGAATGTTGTCTTTGCAGCAATAAATGGACCCATTTCATTCATAGCGATTTTGCTGAACATTGTCTTTTCCCTTTGTCTGCTATGTCCTCAGAGTGGGCATGGGGCAAGACTGGGGCAAGACTTCAACAGCCTCTGAGCACCCTCCTGATTTCCATGGTGTTATTTTGTTTTATCCACCAAATGACAATAATGCTCTTTGTTTGTGAGGTTATCATCCCTTCAATGGCTGAACTGGATAAGGCCCTTCATCAAATCTATAACTTCACCAGTGTTGTGAATCTGTCTTGAGTGACCTGGCTCCACATCCTCTACTACGTCAACATCGTGCCCAACAATGGACAGCTTTTTGTCTGGCTGAAGAGACACATCGAGAACATGGTGTACATCAGTCTCGTTGTAGACAGGATTGTGCTTCTTGTGACAGAGTTAGTTGGCTATACTCGGCACTTTACAGAAGATCAGCACATTGCAGAAGATCAACTCTTTAATTAATCGTCCTACTTCAACATCATTGCAGAATTAGACATCAACAAGGATGTATTTCTATCTTGTCTTTCTATCTGGAGAAAGCCTGCATCACGATGTATGGCATTTTCTTAATCATCTACTTTGGGACTATGATTCTGTCTTGGAGCAGCACCTACATGTACCTGTGAAGGCACATGAAGAGGATGGAGGAGAGCAGTGGCCCTTTCTCCCAGCCCCAGCTACAGAGCCAGATGAGGGTCACTGTTACAGGTTTAGTTCAGGCTGTTCTGTATTTCCCCTGCTGTTTATGGACAGTGAGTGTGATTTTTTGGGGTATACAAGAGGAAATGCTGGTGCTATAGAGGCAAGAGAGGGGGAGTTCTGGTGAGATTAAGGCGAAGGAAAAAACGGCCACCTTTTCCCTCCATTCTATTGGCCAGTAACTTGATAATAAGATGGATGACCTCCGATTCCGGATTTGCTACCAACGGGACTCTCGTAACTGCAATATTCTCTGTTTTTCTGAAACATGGCTTTCAGACAAGATACCCCCCATGGCTATCTAACTGGATGGATTCTCCATTCACCGAGTGGACAGGACAGTGGAGTCAGGGAAATTGAGAGGGGGAGGGTTTTGCCTCTTTATCAACAACACATGGTGTGTTGACTCGAGCGTAATGGAAGACTCAACCCATTGTTCACCTGTCTTGGAATACCTGATGGTCAAATGCTGACCCTTCTACCTCCCGAGGGAGTTTCAGCTGTTATCGTGACTGTTGAATACATTCCACCTCAGGACAAGAAAAATAAGAAACTGTCACTTAACAAACTGTACAAGGCTATAAACAATCAGGAAAACTTGCTTTAATTGTTGCCAGCGATTTGAATTCTGCGTCATTAAGACACGTGATGCCAAACTTCCATCAACACATATCCTTCGCCACTAGGGGCAATAAAGTCCTAGACCACTGTTACTCTACCCACAAGCAAGCATACAAGGCCTTCCCTCGTTCCCCATTCAGTAAATCAGATCATGACTCTGTATTCCTGCTTCCTGTTTACAAGCTGAAGGTCAATACTATCAGATATTATGCAACAGGACTGCTTTGCTAACGCTGATTGGAAAAATGTTCAGAGACTCCGCCGATAACATCGACGAGCTAACCACCTCCGTAACCGGCTCCATTAGGAAATGCATCGGCGACCCCACAGTGAAGGTCCACTGCTTCCCCAATCAAAAGCCCTGGTTTAACGACAGGGATACCACACACAGGGCTATCGCAGACAACCCTTAGGCTACGGCTGAGGACAGGAACAAGTTTAAAGTTTTATTAGTCGTATGTATGGGATACCAGTACCAATATATTAGTGTTATATTCTTCTTGATTTTTTTTTTTTAACAAATGTTAGAATTTATCTTCCACTGTGTTATCTACAAGCGGTATTGCATTGTCGAGAAGGAACCTGCAAGTAAGCATTATACATCGTCTAACTAAATGCTTACTTCCAGGTTCCTTCTCGAAAATGCAACACTGCTTGTAGATAAAAAAGTGGAAGAAATATTCAAACATTTGTAAAAAATAAAAAAAATGTTTTATTGGATTTGCCCCAAAGATGACACTTTGTATTCAGGGCAAAAAGCGAAATGCTTTGCCACATTTTTTGCAGTATCACTTTAGTGCCTTGTTGCAAACAGGATGCATTCAGGCAAAAGAGTTCAATCTTGGTTTCATCAGACCAGAGAATCTTGTTTCTCATGGTCTGAAAGTCTTTAGGTGCCTTTTGGCAAACTCCAAGCGTGCTGTTATGTGATTTTTACTGAGGAGTGGCTTCCGTCAGATCACTGTACCACATAGGCCTGGTTCTCCCATCTCCACGGAGGAACTGGAGCTCTGTCAGAGTGACCATCGGGTTCTTGGTCACCTCCCTGACCAAGGCCCTTCTCCCCCGATTGCTCAGTTTGGCCGGGCAGCCAGCTCTAGGAAGAGTCTTGGTGGTTCCAAACTTATTTCATTTAAGAATGATGGAGGCCACTGTGTTCTTGGGGACCTTCAATGCTGCAGAATTTGGTAGCCTTCCCCAGATCTGTACCTCGACACAATCCTGTCTCGGAGCTCTACGGACAATTCCTTCGACCTCACAGCTTGGTTTTTGCTCTGACATGCATTGGCAAATGTGGGACCTTATATAGACAGATGTGTGCCTTTCCAAATCATGTCCAATCAATTGAATTTACCACAGGAAGACTCCAATCAAGTTGTAGAAACATCTCAAGGATGATCAATGGAAACAGGATGCACCTGAGCTAAATCTCGAGTCTCATAGCAAAGGGTCTGAATATTATATAAATAAGGTATTTCTGTTTTTTATTTATTTATAAATTTGCAAAAAATAAAAATAAAAACTGTTTTCACTTTGTGATTATGGGGTATTGTGTTGATGAGGAAAACATTTCATTTAATCAATTTTAGAATAAGGTAACAAAATGTCGAAAAAGTCAAGGGGTCTGAATACTTTCCGAATGCAATGTAACCCTTGTCCCCTGCTGTTATATGTCATGGAGATAGTCTCCACAATCCAGTGGGAGAGACGCTGCTTAGAGAGTGCCCTGCCGCCAAGCTGAATTAGTAAAACACACAAAAAGCTGGTCACATAACCGGATATCCCTGTTCAGTCAACGTTTGTGTGTAAAGCGCAAACCGGACACAGGGCATGTAACGTCTGTTGCTCTTCAGAAGCAAACAGAGACAAAAAGGGAAATAGCTCAAAAGGTAAGAACCTGTAAGACATAGCCATGACCTTCGAAGCGAAGGCCGCATTTGGATGCAACGTCATCTTAGAGTCGTCCGGGGTGAACTGAGTAGAGGAAGGGTGTATGGATAACGCGTGGAGGTCCCAAACACATTTAGCTGAGGCCTAAGCCATGAGCAGGGAAGTTTTGTGAGAGAGGATCTTCAGATCCACCGACTCCAGAGGCTCAAATGGGGCTGCACACAATGCCTCCAAAACCAGTGCCAATTCCCATGTGGACGCAATAGGTTTAGAGACTGGTCTGAGACGACGTACACCTTTCAGGAACCGCACCACCCGATGAGGCTCCATCAATTCCCAAATGACACGCTGAGATAGCAGCCATGTACACTTGTAAAGTGGAAAATGATTGAAAAGCTCCTTTAGGAACATAAGGATGTCCCTCACAGAGCACTGAATGGAACCAGCCATTTATCCTGGCACCAGAGCTCAAATGCTTACCACTTACAAACATACAGCCCTCTTGTGGAGGGTGCCCTTGCGGACTGAATGGTAGTAATAACATTCAGGTAAACCTCTAGCCATTAGATCGGCCCTTTCAGGGGCTAGGCCCATAATAACCAAATCTCTGGCATCGCGTGCCAAACCTGCCCGTACGCCTGGGGCAAACATGGACAAGCCTCCAACATACGTTGCATTTCCATGAGACTGTATAGCCTGCATTAAGCCCGGCCCCTCTATAGGCACAGGGGGCTCTGGCAATGGCTTAAGTAGTACCCTATTTAGCCAAACATGGGGGCACTGTTGTCACAGCAATATTTTTGTGGAGGGGTGCACTGGTCAATCAGACCCGTGCCAAGGCCCCTCGCTCCGGGGGTTACCCCAGCCAAGTGCTCAGGAAGCTGCTTCCTCATCGGAGGTGCACGCAAACACCACTTCCTCCACTCCCTCCAACTCCAGGAATTGAAAATAGGAATGGGGTTGCCATAACGCCAGGGGAAAGCTAGTAAGTTTCACTTGCCGGAAATTAACCATGCTAGCCGATGTTAGCCAGGAGACTTTTTAGCCTAAGCTAGGCTAGTTAGCCTCTTTGCCTGCAGCATGGTATGTTTAGAATAACCAAGCAACTTAACACTACAGTGGGGGAAAAAAGTATTTAGTCAGCCACCAATTGTGCAAGTTCTCCCACTTAAAAAGATGAGAGAGGCCTGTAATTTTCATCATAGGTACACGTCAACTATGACAGACAAAATGAGGGGAAAAAATCAAGAAAATCACATTGTAGGATTTTTTATGAATTTATTTGCAAATTATGGTGGAAAATAAGTATTTGGTCAATAACAAAAGTTTCTCAATACTTTGTTATATACCCTTTGTTGGCAATGACACAGGTCAAACGTTTTCTGTAAGTCTTCACAAGGTTTTCACACACTGTTGCTGGTATTTTGGCCCATTCCTCCATGCAGATGTCCTCTAGAGCAGTGATGTTTTGGGGCTGTCGCTGGGCAACACGGACTTTCAACTCCCTCCAAAGATTTTCTATGGGGTTGAGATCTGGAGACTGGCTAAGCCACTCCAGGACCTTGAAATGCTTCTTACGAAGCCACTCCTTCGTTGCCCGGGCGGTGTGTTTGGGATCATTGTCATGCTGAAAGACCCAGCCACGTTTCATCTTCAATGCCCTTGCTGATGGAAGGAGGTTTTCACTCAAAATCTCACGATACATGGCCCCATTCATTCTTTCCTTTACACGGATCAGTTGTCCTGGTCCCTTTGCAGAAAAACAGCCCCAAAGCATGATGTTTCCACCCCCATGCTTCACAGTAGGTATGGTGTTCTTTGGATGCAACTCAGCATTCTTTGTCCTCCAAACACGACGAGTTGAGTTTTTACCAAAAAGTTATATTATGGTTTCATCTGACCATATGACATTCTCCAAATCCTCTTCTGGATCATCCAAATGCACTCTAGCAAACTTCAGACGGGCCTGGACATGTACTGGCTTAAGCAGGGGGACACGTCTGGCACTGCAGGATTTGAGTCCCTGGCGGCGTAGTGTGTTACTGATGGTAGGCTTTGTTACTTTGGTCCCAGCTCTCTGCAGGTCATTCACTAGGTCCCCCCGTGTGGTTCTGGGATTTTTGCTCACCGTTCTTGTGATCATTTTGACCCCACGGGGTGAGATCTTGCATGGAGCTCCAGATCGAGGGAGATTATCAGTGGTCTTGTATGTCTTCCATTTCCTAATAATTGCTACCACAGTTGATTTCTTC